CTGCTCTAGGTGACCCTGCTTCGGCAGGAGGGTTGGACTAGATGACCCACAGAGGTCCCTTCCAACCCCTACTATTCTGTGATTCTGTGAAAAAAATTAATAAACCTGCCAACAACAAAACTTCCAAAACGGAAAATACTAAGTGAAGGTCACACCTCTTTGTTTTACCTTTCTGACTAGTTATCCCTAGACACACATTTGTACCTTGTAATCAAAGTGTTCTGAACATCAGCCATCTACACTCTTCCTGTAATCAAATCAAAAGCTGCTCCTTGTGAAAAAAACCCCTCCCGTCTTGATAATGTTTTCACCCATACGTGTCACCCAATCCTGTGCTTTCATCACCCATCCTTAAACCCACACGTCACACGCATCTCCCACCTAACTGCTGGCAGCCCCATCACAAGACCATCGCTTTGTCCTCTCACTGAAACTCTACAGAGCAGCAGGGAAATCAAATGCCGAGCCACGCCACACACCCACCAGCCGATTTCCGTGACCTAGATACAGATGGCAAAATAGATGGGATCCATACCTGCATTTGATACCATGGAGGACCCTCTTGGTCACTGCCAGCTCTCAGAAGACAAATGATTACAGTTATTGGATTGTGCAGACTAACTTCATTTTCTAGACCTTCAAAGTTGGAAGCAACTGCATTTATCTTTTAATTTTATTCCCCTCCCAAGTCAACTTGCTATTGTTGCACTTGAATCCTACACAACAGACTTGCTGTTTTATCAATATTATCAATTCCACCTTTGGAAAGTCTCTCTCATGTAAAGCACAATAGTAAATAGAAAAGCGAATTAAAATGGTTTAATATAACACAGTTCTGTAACTTCTGTTTTTTATCTTCAATGCTGTCACTTTTTTTAAGCACAGACTGCAGCTTGCTGAGGGTGGGAGAGAGTAAAAAGAGTGAAGAGTTAGATCCTACTACCCAAATACCAGAGACGATAATTGGACATAAACCAACTTCTGAGGCGGTAACTGCTAGATCTAAATCTCATGCTGATTCCCATCAGATAAGATTTTTTATTTTAAACATTCTGGTAAAAGGCAAAAAATCTTTAACAACATGGAAAGTCAGAAACTAGGCATACACAGGCTGACAATTTTTCTACAGGAAAGAAAAAACAACAGTACCATTCGTTTTCAGCCACCAGTGCTTCCAAACACAAAACCTGCCTTTGTGTTTGTATCTTTGTTGCTCCTATAGCAGGGGAACACAACAAAATCAAAGACCAGGAGGGGCTGCCTGCATGTGTGCGTGACAAAGCAGAATGCTGAAAGATCCAAAGTTTGGGTAGAATGTCATTAAAGCTATCAATTTTGCTTTGGTCTCCTGCTGTGGCCTTACCAGAAGAAGCTTATCTGATCAACTAATAGAAAACTCCATAAAAAAAGCAAAAAAAAGCACTTGGATCAGGCAACCTGTGATTAAAACAATTATGAAGCAAATACATCCCACAGATTCTATTCGTATATATTTAAAATTGCCAGATGAAATTAGTCCTTTTCTAGTAACATCACATTTGCTTCATACTCCATTTCACACTGATAACAAAAATCATGATAGCAATCACAGAACACAGTCTGAAATGAAGTAGTTCACTGTACTTGAGCAAACTGATGGTACTGATTTTGCCAACAGCTAGAACATCAAGTCTCAGAATTGAATGAACACAATAAGGAAATACTGGAGTAGTTTAGATGACAGAGGAGGTTAATAAAACATGAGATACTGTAAATGTAGTACATGATACACAGAACATGGGTCAGGAATTGGGGAAAAACATCACTTTGCCTTTTCTGCATTTCTTTTGATGATTCTAAAACTAGTCACAGACAATTCCCCTCCTGAAATTTCCTGCTTTGCTTTTCTCTATTTACAACAAACTCACAATATAAAAGGGTGATTTGATTAAAAATCACATTCTTAAAATACATATGTATTTAATATAACACACAATTCAATTCCAAATCTGGTTTATTACTAGAAAACATCATCAAGTTAATTATCCACATGATATATGAATCACATGGTAAATTCTAGATGTATCCGATTAAATTTTCAAAACTCACTAAATGATTCTGTCAAATTATGTCTTGTGGTTTTCGTGCCACTTCTGACATTTTCAGCCATTACCTTTTCTAGCTAGCATGCCAGTTTAGGTCTAACACTTCTCCCTGAACTCCTTCCTATTTCAGGCATTTTAAGTATCTTTTCAGAGGTGCTCTTCATCTAGCATGGAATTAAATTTGGTCAATCCACACAGAAACCCATACTCAAGAAGCATGTCCTAACCAGACCAATGTAAATCTTTAAGTCCTCAGGAAATTCAGCTTTAACCACATTTGAATATAGCCATATATTCGTACGTTCAGGTACGCAGAGGCACAACATGTGCTCTAGTAAGAGCTTGGCACATGACAGAACACAGAAGTCTACATCATCCCATCAGACGATACCAGAGGGAGGTACAAGCCCCACGCCAGCCTTCATTCCCTCCCTACAGTAAACCCACCCCAAAAGCAAGAACAGTTCCAAATCTGTATAAATCCTACATAAGACCATGATAATACTGAAGTCATCCATTCCTAGTAAGTCAATAAAAAAGCATGAAAGTCAGATATCACATATCCATTTGTAAAAGAGCACTCCTACCTTTTCAGTTTCATATAATTTTCACTAGCTGCAGGTCTGCATTCAGCACGTTGCACCACTATTCCTTCCAAGGCAAGTTTATCTAGAATGAAAAAACACAAAGCAAAACTGGGCATTAAAATAAGATTCACCAACATGGTCAACATATCAATTATTTTTCACTAATTAAGTATTTAATAAATATAATGCAATTGTAAGTTCTCGAATCAAGTTCTAAAATCTCTGCTATTTAGACACTAAAGAAATAAGCAGCAAAAACATGCTTGCACAGCTGGTATCCCTCAGACTTCCTTATTTTGCCACCAGATGTTTTACATGTTAAGAATGAATCACAAAGGGCAAATTTTACACAAAAAATGGTAACTGTGTGGTCCTCCCTTCTGTAGACTGTTACACTCAGCTTATCTAGGAACTGTTTTCTGGAAGTGTGCATTGAATACAGTCAGTGACCATGAAATAAATAACCTACAAAAAGAACACAACCATCAAAGTATCCAAAATCAGTGGATGATAAAGTGAGAGCTAATTTTGTTCCTATCCTCAGAAAAAGAGTAACCTATTTTCATCTTATTACAATAAAAACCCCCTGTTCACTAAAGGAATATACTGCAATAAAGTAATAATACTACTACATATGCTAACACTCAGGGAAAAGAAATAAAGATTTGCAGTTAGTAATCTAGGAGATCACCTACTGAGTTTTAGTTAATACTGCTCTCTGTCCATTCACCTCTAACACAGTCACCTTGTAATCCAACGTGAACACCTCTTTGCCTAAAGCAACGACAACTAAAAGAGCAGTGCAATAGCACCAGCCCACTCCGTAAAGGTGCAAAACCTAAGAATAAAAGCAAGATGTAGAAAGGAAGAGAGAAGCGATGGTGGGCAAACACCTGCTTCTCTACTACAATGTTCTAGTGCACAGTGTGTGTGTGTGGGGGGGGGGGGGGGGGGGTAACAAGAGAAGATGACCTTTAATGGCTTGATTAGCTCTCACCATTTAAAACGTCCTTCCAACAGAGAGCCTCATCCTGCTGCCGGTGTTGGGTACTACACTGTCACCATCACCTTCAGCTGGCAATGTCACAGAAGATAACAGACACGCTTAGAAGTATTGGTGCCAAGTAACACAAGGCACTCTGAGACACCTCTAATTTTTCCGTTGCCTTACAGACTGAAATACTATTACATCTGTAAATCTAAGTCTGTTCTCCCTGAATAATGCAGAGCGCAACTACTCCGACATCATGTATTTCAAAATTATTTAATCTGAAATTTCTTGATTTGATTTAAACTAAATCCTTGAAAGGAATAAGAATGCCATAATTTTCCAGGTAGTTTTGAATGAAGCAAAGAAAATTTGTATTAAAACACTTCTGGTTTTACAGATTCCTAAGGTTTATGGTCAGGAGAGACAACTTGGCAAATTTGCCTGACCTCATGTGTGTCACAGACAGATAAAATTTATCATCTTTCTTCTTCACAGAACCTAGTAACTTACTTGTGGCTAAAGCGGTACTAATATTGTTGCTTAATTTCCAACACAAATTTGCCTTCAGCTTCTAGCAGGTGGTTCTTCTTACGAATTTCCATACTATACTAAAGAGCCTTTTAGTACCTGGCGTTTTCTCCCTTTGACAGTACTTATACATTGTAATCAAGTCACTTCTCAATCATCTTGTCAATAAATGAATTAATTCAAGCTCACGCATTATCCCACCACAAGGCATTTACGCCACATTTTAATCAGTCTTGGGTCTCTTCTCTGCACCTTGTTCAATCTTGCAATGACATTTTAAGAATACAGAGACCAGAAAACAGACGTAATACTATTGTACTGGTCTTACTAAAACAATATACAGAGGTAAAATAACAGATATAGGAGCTGGAATTTCTCTCAACTCACTTCAGCCATCTCAAGGTTATTCAACAGAACCTCTGAATTCATCTGAGAGAGGGAGGAAGGTAGGCTTTCAGAAGAAAATTGGTCCTATCTCTTTTAGGATTCAATGATCTACCGTGTTGGTGTGTTTTTGTGGTTTGGTTTGTTGGGTTTTTTTTTTTTTCTGTGCTTCATGTTTACATGGCTAAAACCGGGTTAAGATCAATTTGTCTCTGTAAATCAAACTTTGGGGGGTGATGGAGCTGACTGGCTATTATATCCCTAATACATCTATTTTGAGTCTTTTCTAAGCCTCACATTTTACCTATGTGCCCTGCATTCCCTGTTCCTAGGTGTGTATTCACCTTTGGCTTGGTTAAAATGCATTGTCGTTCAACAGATTCTGTGAATTAAGTGATCCCGGTCACACCATGACAGGGCTGTCGTAGTTACTCACTGTCTGACCAGCATTTGTGTCAATCATGACACATTTTAGCAGCAACGATTCTCACTTACTACTGTCCCTCTTGCTAATCCTGGCGGAAGACCTTCAAACTACAACGTGAGTGGCTTCCTACTGATAATTACTTTCTGATAACTGTCAGCCAGTTTTAAATCTCGTTCTGTGCTTGCTATTTATTTTTTTTAAGACATAAATCAGAATGTCACCAGATTCTAAATTCTACGCAACACGAAATGCTAAGCAGGCTGCAAACATGCTGTTACTTTAAATTCACAATCTCCAAAATAAACAAAACTAGGTTTATTTGACCAGAAAACCTGTACATAAAGCCGTGTTTGCTAGTATTCATTGTATTATTCTGATCTTTTCTACCTCTTGAACTCTATGACAATTTTTCCACTAGTTTGTACGGTACAGGCTCAAGGCTAACTAGCCTACACCCATCTGAGACATCCAGCCCAGCTGGACATGTGAACACCGACACGCTGCTATCAGTCTCTCTGCACCTTGCATAATTTTCAAATTATTCCTGAAGTTTTAAGAATCAGGATCAGTGAACCAGATAGCTTCCCCACACCAACAGTTTAGGGAATGAATCTGCCAGTTAAACATGCTTATCCTTAAAAATGTTTCATCTTTGATGTCTTGGCTAACACCCTCTTTTAATTACCGCCGATCCAGATTCGGCTTTTAATGTTCCAGTTGCTTCACAGTAAAGGCTGTCTGCAGTCTCCAAGAACACCACCTTGCAGCTAAGCTACTCTGCTGTCAGAGCTCATCCACTGTCCAAAAGCCAAGGTTTATGTCCCACTTTCCCTGGACCCTCCTGGGGATTTTAACACATCCAGAGAGTCTAGCAGAACAAATCTACAAAGATGCATGCAAACCTCCGGATGCAAGACTGTAATGAGGGAACACAGTTTTTACAGCCTTCACAGCCTAATTAGCCCTCATTCACCAAACTCCAGTTCAGAGACTTGGGTCTGTCTTCACTTGTTGCAGGACCAGAGCTGCAATGAAGAGAAATCCAAAGCACTACACGTCTGCTTTGATATTTCTGTAGTCAAATCAGCCTAGAAGCCAAAGAATGAATAAGGCATGAAAGTGGTAACTCCCTGTTAAAAATATCTACGCAAAATAAAGCAGACAGTACAAGATAAATGAATAGGTCTGAAAGACTAGCTAAGACCACTTATTGGAAGGGAAAACAGACATTTTCCCAAGCGTCTTACGCTCTCAGTTGCCCTATGTGGGGTGGTGGGTAAAAGCACACTGCGAGTGCAGCCCCAGACAGGCTGGTCTACGTAACCCATAGCTTCATCATTAGCTGCCAAACGTGTGCTCACCCTGACCTCCCTGCCTGGATGCTCCAGTGCCAATTCACAAAGGAATTTCAATTGTTCCCTCTTTCAGTGAGATGACAGGGCGACATGCTGGGGAGATGCCGATTCCAGCTTCAAATCCTGCTGACAATCACCATCAAATGAACAGAACGTGGTGAAAATGCTTCAGGCAATCTTAATAAACAGGCACTGAGGAAATTTACTGGAATTGTGCAGAGTATGGTCTGATAGGTGTTGAAGGAGAGACGGACTGGCTTGGAGATTTTAACATGTTAGTTTTCTAGTCTGACTGAACCCAGCTCCAATTACCAGCCAATGGATCTTGTTAGACCGTTGACTGCTAAGTTGAAGAGCCTGCTATGAAAGCATTTCTGCCCATCCAAGCACTTATGTACTCTCCACCTTTATCAAGCCTAATAAAAACTACTCATGTTTTCTTGAATCTTCCATTAGGACTATTTTTCAACTTTTTAATCATTCTTATTGGCCTGAGAAAGTCCAGTCGATGAACGTCTCTCCTGAGCTGTGGGCCTCACAGCCAGACTTCACAGCATGCGGGACAGGATCTGGAGATTACCAGCTCCTGCTCTTTGTGAGTGGTGCCAGGGAAGGAGGAGATGAAGACCTGCCTCAGGACGCATTATTCCCAAGCAGCAGGAAAAAGTGGAAGAAATTGCAGTAAGGACAGGTTATGGGCACACGTGCCTCCAGCTCCTCCGCAGGTAGAAGTTCGGCTGTTGCTTTCCAGAGCCCAAGTCAGAAGCCTCGGTAGTTCCCGCTGCCCACTTGTACTGCTGTGGGGCTTACCAAGCTATTGCACGTGATGGCTGGCCAAGGAGCAGCCCCCTCCTACGCTAGACCTCAGCTCTGCTCTTCCAGACCAGAGCCATTTTGTGGCACCTCTCTTCCACTCAAAGGGCAGCCTGGAAGCTGGTTTCCTCCTCAGACCACCCTTCCCTGGTAGCTACACAGCTAGAGAACAGAATGCAAATTGTTTGGACTTGCCAATTTGAAACTCTTCACTTGGCACTCCCTTATTGAGTCATCCAAAGCTACACAGTACATTTGTTTTACTGACCACTGCACAAAATTACCTCATGTTCAGTAGTTGATGACGTATTAAACACAGGGCAGAGCCTCTGCCCTACCCCTCCTGCAAACATACATATTGCAAGTCCCATCTACAGTGTATTCCTGTGCATATGAGATTCATATTCAGCTTTCTTAAAATGTTATCCTAATGAACTATCCAAATGGTTCTGCATCAGCAGTGTATGTCCTTATTGATTACATTCTCAGTCTCTATCATCTCCAATCTTCACCAGTGACTATCTACTTCTTGATCACTGACTACAAATAAGTAGGACCAAGAACCAAATCACAGCAACATTTTA